AACATCGTCTTTGTCTGTTTCAATTAAAAAGTTTGATTCATAGAAGTCAGGATATTTCGACTTTTTCGATAATTTTACTTACTCGGAGGCTCTGCCAGCCTTCCGCTTGCGTCGTGTTGATATCTTTGGCCCCCCTGTTGGTTCAGCCCTAAACAGTCCATAAAACAAATAGACCCCGTTCATATTGTGTAATATTGTATCGAAGCGTTGATTTTTTTTTTTTTTTTTTTAACTGTTTTGAGAAAAGATTGTATCTCCGTCGCTGTCTATCCTACTGCAAATTCTCGCGATATAGCCATGTTCCTTCTTTCTTTCATACATAATTTCGTTTCGTTGGTTGCTTTTCCTCTCTTACTCTTTCTTTCTCTCTCTCTCTCTTTCTTCCACACATACGTTCTCTCTCTCTTTCTCTTTCTCTGTTTTTTTTTATACAGCAATAGTGCAACCATCACGTTCGTGCGTTGCGTGTACACACTTTGTGCGAGAAGCAGTATCGGCGGTCACGATGTTTGAAGTTCGTGTAAAAATAAAATTGCAGGACATTTGCAATTTAGAAAGGCAATGCAAACTCAAATCACACAACTGTGCCAAGCGGAAAATTAAAAGATCTAGGCATTGAAATGTTAGGGAACGCGGATGATCTAAATATAAAGAAATTGAATAGTAGAATGAACGATACGTTATATTCCTTTAGAACTGCCTCACCTGTATCCACGATCGACAACTGTGATCGGATAGACCGAGTGGGAACAAAATGTTGCAACTTTTTTACATGACTAACGATGATTAAACAATATTTGGCGATCTTCTAACTCTCTCTCTCTCACAAAATTATATACAAAAGTAAATCAACCATCATTCAATGTAAAATCTCACTATATTGGAAAAAAGAAGAACAGTAGAAGGTAAATATGCAATAAATCTTCTCTGATGCGTGTGGTAAATATAAGCAAATATGTATATATATATGTATATATATGTATATATATGTATTTATATATATACAAAATGTACGGTCTTCACAATCAATCAATCGTTCTGTCAATGCTTTCTAATCGTTTTAATGTAGATGTCAACACATTCTGCGGCATGTACATGCTCAAGGATGTTACTCAAACTAAAATGGATAAGTACGGAATATGTAAATATGAGTTTTGGAGACAAAATCGTGATTAAATTCAGTTAAATATACTTGGATAAACCATATCGATAATATCTATCGAGCCTGCTTATATACATGCAATTTCAAACTGTTAAATGTTTAATAATATACTTCACTTAAGTTCTTAAACACTAATAGTTGATCGAACACTATGTTAGATACTTAATCCAAAGCTGTTCCCTAAGTTTTTTAAATCGATAATTCTGACATCCTTTTATCGTATTTAATGGAAAGGCAACATTTGTATTTATGCTATTATACAAAATATAAGATGCAAATGTATACATACAGTTGTAAACATATATTTGTTTACATGTAATGTAATATGCTTACATGTTACATGTCATATAAATAATAAAGCCATTGAAAAATTTATATTCTTTGTTCAATTAGAACCATTCTGAACCAAACTTACTGTTATCCATCTAATATATGTATATAAACATATAAATATAATACCTAAGAAAGGTTTTATAGCTATAGAAGTAATTATTACAATCCCTTCTCAAATTTTACTTCATATGAAATTGAGCATGTCATTCTACTGAGGAAGTACATACACCCAATGTAAATGATTTGAAATGATGAAAAAAGGGACAGCTCCGTATTGTATCCAAACGAATTTTCTCTCTCAATAATTATTGTTATGCTGTCGGAAATGGACAACAAGATGACGGGACGAAAATCCGTGTTAAAATATTATTCGCTTTATAAGAGTACAAATCACATCGGTTTCTAACGTAATTTAACACGTGGCTAAAAGTGAAGGTAACTGAAACGAAAGTAACTGACACGTAGGAAACTACCTGTAGTACGACAGTAGGCCATTTGACAGGACAAACCATCTTCGTTGATAACCTTTTAAATAATTAGTCCATTTAAAGAGCCAGCCTTTCATCTCCTGTGTACCGTGTTGAGCCTTTGGGTCACCCATTTTAGTATACGCTGCGTGCTCACACGTGTTTTTCCTGAAATTACAATGCACTCCAATATCTGCGTACACATCACCCGTATCGTACAGCCACCATTTTGATATTCTTCTAACCCACAGACTGTACGCTCTTAGATCGAAATTCTACTTATACACACTGTTTGCAAGTTCGCAACAGACCAGCAGCAATACCAACAGATTCGCGAACGTGCCTTAAAAGCACGGTTTTATTCGATATAGTATGGGTCCCCTCTTTTGCACAGCGTGGTAACCCGCCACGTTCCTTGGTGACGGTGCCTAACCTTTATTATACCGAGTCACCTATATAACGTTCGTGCATACGTACACATACAAATTTGATTACGGGTAATCTGTGATTTTGCAAATTTTTTCGAATCGTGTTTTCTTTTCCTCCTTTTTTGTTTCTTTATTTTTCATGGGAAAAGATCGATAACATATATCACGAACAAAAACAACAATCGATCGCTTGCACGACAATAAAAAATCCTTATACCATGAATTTTGAGGGATAAATTGTAATGAATGTTTTCGAAATCTGTAGCATATGTTTTCTTTGTTGTCTTCGCATCGTTTAGAGTTTAGACTACATCAAAGCTGGGGTATAAATCAACGAAAAAAAGTCACTAGTGTTCGTCGAAACAAAAAGGGATTGTACAGGGCTACTGTCATTCTTCATGTTTTCCTATTTGATTTTCGAAGAAAAATTTTATACATGTCGCACGCGTCACAGATTTGTCATCGACGATGCCAATGACAAACAACGAAATGGATAGATTTATCACGCGACAGGAATTTAACAAAATTCTCTTTTACATACTTCTTAGAACGAATACGCCACCGAAAATACATTCGTTCTGTCATTTGGTGAAATATGGTCTGCTGAGGCGAATAGTTCCAGTTACGAGAAATGTCATGAAGAAGAAGCACTCTGTACACTCTTCGATTAGATGTTTGATACTGACCATTATCTTCGAATGAAACCAAGCTCTTAATTTATCTGAGCAGATCACATAAGTAACAAGTACTCGAGTGCCTCTTCGTTTTACCGTACGAAGAGAGTATTACGAATTTCGATGTATTAATAACTAGGTAATCACCTCACGTATTTGTAGCGTATATATATAAAACACAGAAATACGAAAACTTCGGTCGGCTACATGTATTAATTGTTTGATTTAGATAATTAAATGTTTCTTGTTTCGATAAGGTTTAATAGGTAAAGTTATGAAAGATAGGATTCGATGTTATTTTACTTTATCGATAATATGAAAACGAGCGACAACGTTACCGACTCAGTTTCTGTTTGTCATTTAAAACTGTTTAAAATAATTGCGTATAAATACATATAAAATATAAGCAATCTGTAAAAATATATTGAAGCATAAGTAAAAATATTATTATACTTATAAATAGAATAGATGTATGTGCAAAGTACATTGAAAGATGTAACATTAATAAAGTAAAGAATTTTTCACGTCATAAGTTGAAGTCTAAATTAATAACATTATAAAAAAATCATTAAAATTCACATATAATTTTTAATTAGTACTAATAAATGTGTGATGATAAAATTAAATTTATAAAAATTTACTAAACGACTTGATTTCTATACTATAATTTTATGCTTCCTTCTATCATAGATAAGATATAACATAGATTCAATGCCTAATGAATTTTTATGTTATAAGATTTAAAAGTGCAGATGAGTATATTTTTAAATTTATTAATTTTATTATTTATTAGTTTTGGTATTCAATTTTTGGAATTTATATTTTAATTTTATATCATCATAATATTATTAGTATAAACCATAAAGGACGCAAAAATCATTAATTCATTTCAATCTCAGTTCGAACGATACAAATTTTCTTGAAATATTATATCTATGTTATAGTTTATGATTATAAGTCAACTATTGAATCATACTAAAATTCAAAATTTTATCTTAATTAACAATAAAATTTATTAACATTTGTGTCATTTATTTATTTATTAATTATTAATATATGTAAGTATGGTGTATATGAACATTAAATATAACAGCTTATATTTCTTATATTTCTAAAACACAAGAACTCATTTCTAAAATAAAGCAACTTTTAAACATTTGTATTAAATGTTTCATAATGACTTCAATATAAGAGTATAATCAATATAACCAAGCATTTATTAAATAAAATCCCAAGTTAGATAAATAGTTTCTTTATGATATATTATCTTCAAGTAAAACGATTTATGTTAATATATTGACGTGAATTTCCTTGGGATTATCAAGGAAAAATATAAATGATGTACAATACGTACGTCAAAACGTACAATAAATGTTCCCTTTATAGTTTAATACTTAAGGATTATAAATTATAAACAGTGTCTAACTTCATAATATTTCCCTTTATCTAAGTACACTGTGCAATTAAAGATCTGCAATTAATAAACGTAATGTATAACTATTACATAATGAAACATAGTAGACTGTTGCATGTTTTAAAGCGATTTCATTATTGAAAGAATAACTCGCAAAATTCGACACAAATATTTCGTACAGTATTTTAAAAGAAAAAAAATATTGCTTAAAACAAGCGAAACGGATGTCGTTTACTATTACCACGCGTATATTAGTTTGTTAATGTTAATGCCTTTCGAACACCCAGTAGAAAAGATTGACGCAGGTCTGCGCTTGTCACGAACAGTTGACCTGTGTAGTTGACTGTGATAGTTGGCTGATCGCGCGCTAATATACTTTTCTCGCGTTTCCGTATTCTCTCGTAGTTTTGACTCATTATTGCGGAAATCAGTGCAGTATACATGAGGTGATGAGAGAACGTACAAAAGGGCCAGACTTCGGACCGCCCAGGTGAGATGGCTGAATTTCTAATATATCACGGTGAGACATAATCTGGGGTAAGGGAGTAGCAACCTCTTGGGGCCATAGCTAGTCACGTGACCCTTCTGTTTACCAAAATGGTGTACGTCTATGTTTTACAAATAATTTTCATTTCATTCTAATACATGTTTCATTCACCTATGATATGTTCAATGAAACGGAAGAGGAGTTACAGTAAACTTACTGTTAGCGTTAAGGTCTCGTAAAGGAACGATTGTAGCTGATACTGTTGCATTTGCACAGCGTTTGGTTGTCACAAATGATGATTGTAGCGAAAGTTTGAAAGTAACTGTACGAAAGTGTCTTCCGCGTCTAATCTCTTGGTGGTTTTTACAATACACGTGAATTATTCCGATTTTCTACGAAAATTTTGAACGCATCTTGTCACAATGTGATCACTGCCATATTAATTACACAACATTTTGAAAACATAAAACTCACTGACCTATTGGATTATTATTTTTTTTGTGTTCCCATTCTGATGGGATGATTAGGCTTCGCATCTTTATGTAATAACCTTGATAATTTTGGTTGTTTTATTTTTCATCATATAATATCATTGATATTGTATTTTTGTTTTATGTTTTAAAGGGGGTGACCGAAGTTATACAAGGCCTAATTCCATTACTGACAATGTTGAATGCACAGCGTTGCAGGTACAACAGCTATGTATTATGTACTTTTATTTTGGAGATTTTTATATTGTAAATATTAATATGTTATATTTGCAGTGATTACAGATGATCTCTGATATAGGTTAGTGCAAGCAGAAAGCACTTTCAAATAGGGCATCTAAATGTCAGAAGGTGTCCTAGCATAGTGTTTTATGCTTTGGCCAGGCATTTTTAAAGATGGCCACGTATCAAGTTGATTATCAGTGGTTAGTCTTACAATTAATATTAATTTTATGAGAAATGTTATATCGAATAATAAATTAGATAGTTCTTTATTAAAGTTAATAACTGGTGTTCAACAGTTGTTCATCATTTTAGGGCTTATACTATAATGGATTCATCTAGGATATCCACTTTCCTAATATCAATTTTATTGATAGTCTATGGCAGTTTCCGATCTTTAAACATGGAACAGGAAGCTAGAGAAAGAGAAAAAGAAAAAGAACGTAGTAATTTATTGACTGGAATTTTGAGTAACAGCAGTACAGCAAATGCAGACGGTGCTAATGGAAGAGTTCAAACCCTAAATACAATGCATGCTCTCTGTCTACCTCTTGGTGCTTCCATTTCTCTACTCGTCATGTTTTTCTTTTTTGACAGCATGCAAATGCTTGTAGCAATCTGTACAGCCAGTAAGTTTAGAATAGTACATTTTGTGATTACTATCATGCATATAAAGAACAGCATCAAATTAAGAACATTTATTTTGCAGTTGTAGCTGCAGTTGCATTGGCATTTCTCCTTTTACCCATGTGTCAATATATCATTAGACCATGTTCAGATGGTAATAAAATATCTTTTGGTGTCTGTGGAAGGTTTACTGGTGCAGAATTACTTTCATTTTCATTAAGTGTGAGTATAGTCTGTATTTGGGTACTGACTGGGCATTGGCTACTCATGGACGCAATGGGTATGGGACTTTGTGTAGCATTCATTGCATTCATTCGATTACCTAGTTTAAAGGTATCTACCATACTATTAACTGGACTACTCATTTATGATGTCTTCTGGGTTTTCTTTTCATCTTATATATTCAGCACAAACGTAATGGTTAAGGTAAGTTTCAATAAATTCGCGATAAATTAGCTTATATTAAACTGTTTTGTATACTATTATTTACAGGTAGCAACTAGACCTGCAGATAATCCAGTGAATCTTGTGGCTAGAAGGTTGCACTTAGGTGGTGTAGCAAGAGAAGCACCGAAACTTCCTTTACCTGGAAAATTAGTGTTTCCATCAATGCATCAAGCAGGACATTTTTCAATGTTAGGTCTTGGCGATGTGGTTATGCCAGGCCTACTGCTTTGCTTCGTTTTACGATATGATGCGTATAAAAAGACTCAATTGTTGCCCGGTGGTTGTGAAACAGGAGTTCCACCGCCACGACACATCAATCGCATTAGTTATTTCCATTGTTCACTCATTGGTTATTTTCTTGGTTTACTTACTGCTACTGTAAGCTCTGAGGTGTTCAAAGCTGCGCAACCTGCCTTATTGTACCTTGTGCCCTTTACTTTGTTGCCATTACTCACAATGGCGTACTTGAAGGTACTTTAATTTAGTACTCTTAATTTATTTTTGTAATGTGTAGATGATGTAAATTGTGATGAATATGTTATTTACAGGGTGATTTACGTCGAATGTGGAGCGAACCATTCATATCTCAGCAACCTTCCAAACACATGGAAGTTTGACAACAGTCATGGGTTTGTGTATATTACACATTGGGAGGAAAACTACTTGTAGAATCCCATTGTCACTTATCATAACGTCCTTATTTTTATCAATGTCATTTAATGTAAGTAACTTTTTTTTTTACACATGCGTCTTTTAATGCTACAATGCAAGTTACGGTTTCATATACGGGAAATGTAAAGGTATACTGCAGTACGACATTGATTTAATACAATATTGAATACAAGTCATGACAAAGTTTTTTATTGAAAGAGATAAAACAGTTCTTGAAAAGCGTATTTAAAATACTGAATACTATTATCGATATAACGTCAATATTCATTTTGTGTCTTAAATTCGGTGTTGAGTAAATTATATGTAATAGATAAGATAACTACATACTGTTTACCAATTACTATTTATCAGTTTAGTAAATGCGAAAAACCGTGTTCTGAGATTCACCTAAAAAAAACGGATAAGCATCTTTTTTTTTTAAGTTTTACAATGACTTTACTATAAAAATTTATAATGTTTTCAAAATACACAATTTTTTATTCCTTCTTTTTTACACTAAACTATATATATATTAATAATTTCGCTATAACTCCGTTATAAATGTGTGTGATATTCTCTATGCAGAAATTCTTTTTAATTTATTGTTCAATTGATATCAAACTAATTGTATGTAACATGTAGTTATGGATAGAGTAATTTAAATAATTATTCAACGATTTCCATGAAAATCTAGTGAACGTATGTGTGTAGGTTGTGACTTTCTTTTACTTGGAGCTAGCATTGAACAAAGCATTCTCTATGCAAATGTGTATATAAATTTTGGTTTTTATAAACTTAAGAAAAAATTTTACAGTTCGTTATTAGCATATATTGCAAGCATTTCAACTTGCCAAATATCTTGCTAACTTTGTGTAGCATGGTGGGAAATTGCAAACAATTTTTAGAGAAGTGGAAAGTGAAAGTTGTAGAATTTTATTATCAACCAAAAAAAAAAGAGAAAAAAAAGAAAGAAAAAAATAAGTAAATTGCGTATTTGCGTCTTGATTTTCAAGAACTATCTCGTGATAAGAAAGAAGGACTTATGATTGAAATATAGAGTGTTTTAACTAAGCTCTTGCTATGGATAGGCATCAGAAAGATTTTATATGTTTATTTAAAAACAAGACTGAAAGAGAGAGTAATATTGTACGAAAGCCAACATATTTAGAGATCTCTCAGAAAGATATAATCAATCCTTTTTGTTCAATTTTTCTTGTATCTCAATTTAGTCGTAGATTGATATGATATATAGTATAATATATAATACAATATTGCGCAATGTGTCTAAAGTAAAATAATTGCTTTCATAATTAGTATAATTTGCTATAGATTACAAAGGAACCTAGAACTCGAAACGTGTTAATTGTTTACTGTTTGTTTTTATAATACTTTATTCATCACATTCTAAAGATTACGAACAAATTATATGTATATTTGAATTTTGATCTGTAAATGTATTTTATGGGAAGTAAGAATATTTTAAGCAGAGCGATACATTTTTAATGTGATTAGTTTTGCATCTAGAATGATATATTATGGTATTAGGTGTGATAAAACATTGGATACAGAAATACAGTCTCGGTTTAAACTAATTATAACTTGTATACTTGTATATTGATATAGAAAGTAAACTCTAAACTGTAACATGGACGAAAGAAAGAAAAGGATATTATACTTGCAATCTTGTTCATTAGAAAAATTTCGATATTTCATTTTTTTCTTAAACATTTTGTCCTTACTTTTGTAACGGTAATGGATCAATGTTAAATAGTGTTATACAAAAACTAATAATTCTAAACTTTTAAAACGATAAAAGATTATTTCTATATGTGATCGTTTTTATATATATCTTTTTCCTTTTTTTTTTCTTTTTGTTTACATTAACATGAATGAAAGGAATTTAAACAATTTATATGAGATGTTACATTGATAAAAATACTCCTTTTATACGATCTAATTAGTTTTTGTATAAAACTGTGATTCTTCCTATACTTTATTCGCTTACCTGTCCATAGCACAAGCAATTTATTCTTATTCATTACACGTCTTGAAGAAATAATCTTTAGACGAATCGTACAGAAGAAATATCTATTTCTCTCATATAAGATATAAGAATATAAGTGACAAAATATATTTTAGCTACTTCCGTTGTAAACATAAAAAAAGAAGACTTGATATCATCCATAAAGTGGATGAATTTAACTGCGTTCTATTAAAGTTCAGGAAGCTTAAAACCCATTTTATAATTCGTTTTTTTTTTCTTTTTTTTTTTTTGTTTTTAAGTAATTAAAATATAGGATTAATATTTTCATAATGTCCATTTTAAGTTTCTTGTTTTATTGAATGTACATACTATTAACATTAGGAATTAATTTCGTATCGTCTGTTTTTCGTTTGCCTTGTAATTCAACATTTAATTTATTGAATGAAAAAGCAGGTTTCAGCATATTTTGATGTTTAGTTGAACATTTTAAAAAAGAAAAACACACATATATATATTTATCATTATATAGAAATATTGTGCAATAATAAAATGTGTTTCAATGCTTTCATCATTAGGAATTAATCAATGAGCTACTTTTTCATATAGGAAAATGATTTTCTTACTTTAATCACACTTCTTTAATTCATATTGCTTCTTTTTTTGTACAAACAGAATTTAATACATAACAATGTAGAAAATATATCGGTCGATAAGATTATAACTTAGTTTATGGTGAAAATGAAAGGTGCGTAAAATTATATTTCCTTTTTTTTTTTTTTTTTTT